TATCTAGCCCTATCTTCACTTCTTCTTCTGATGGTTTTTCAAGCAGCTGTTCTACAGTAGAATGTTGAAGTACGGTGTTATTTTCATTTGATTGGTTTAACAATTTTTCGAACATATCTTTTAATTCATTCAATTTCTTTACTCTCCGTTAGTAATGATCCATCATGTTTCTTCATTACTGTTGGTCTAATTTGATATCCATGTTCAATTTCATTTGCTTTTTCGAAAAATATTTTGGAGTTGTTATTCCTGTTGTTTTCTATGGTAGGTATCCGTTCTTTTTCCCATAATCTCTTATTCCTTCTGATAGCTTTTTTTGCATCCCTTTGTTTTTGTGCTAGTAGCCTTTTAAATCCTTTTACACTTATTAAAATATCTTTTATTCATAATAATTAATTAAATTCTTAATTTTGTTTAAAATATTACTAAACATTGCACATATTATTATTTTTTAATATTTTAGACTCAAAATGGATGCTACTTACAAAGAAGAAAAACCACTCAATCCAAGATCAAAGGCTAATATTTTTGAAATTGTAACCTATGGGTAAACTTTTAATACAACTTTATATTTTAATTATAATTTATATTATGTGAAAAAAACCACAAATTATTAATGATTGTTAAAATTTTAAATATATATTCATATGAAATAGAATAGTTTTGTATAAAAAAAAGCATCCAAGATCTCTTGGACTAAATTACTTTAATTTATATAATATTTTTTTAACCTATTGTTATATTATGGTTTCCATAATATATCTAAGAAAATGGACCATTTTTAATCAAAGAAACCTCGAGTGTAACAGAAAGAACTGATAGAATTTTTGTACCTCCATTGATATTAGTAAAATTAGTAATTAAGTAAATTAATATCTATGAATATAATAAACTAATAAATTGTTTATCAATCTATTGTTTGAATTTGATTGAAATATTATGCTTATTTTTAAGTATAGGTACCTACTACCTATAATATTATGTTATAAAAAAAATTTGAATTTAAAAAGTTAGTTGTTATTCGTATTTTTCAATTATCTCTGTTACACTCTGCAGGCACCTATGTAAATGTTGATCACCAACTTTTGTAACTTACCTACTTGCTTCGTTTTGGTAGGTACCTACTATCTAATCATTCCTAAATTTTACCAATATATCATCCATTTTCCCTTTTCTAACAGGAGTCCGCCAGAGAGCTTATCTATTATATTACATACAGCTGCAGATCTGATAATCATCACCTCCTACACCTAAGTAGCATACCTATATTGCAGTCAATAAAAAATAATAAAAATATATACTTAATAATCACATGCAAATAAAGCTAGAAATTACTAAAAACCTTTCAATAAATATAATATTACAACCTTAAGAATATATTAAAATAAACCTCCTTATGTGATTTTTACAATATTTCCTATTAGCACAAATGCTAAAATTGTACTTCCCTACTTGTTAAAAGACATTCATAATTAACCAATTAAATAAGCTATTTAATAGAAATATCTAAAAAATAAAAATTGCGTTGAATGATTAATATCCCTTTAACACATTTTTATTGTTTAAAGGTGGATTTTAAAATTTATCAAAAAAGGATTAAAACAAGAATTTGACTTGGTTGACTTGTATAATGTTTTGGATGATGATTCGTCAGCTTTATTGGGAAGTAAATTACAAAAGTAAACAGTTTATTATCTATGTGTTTATACACAAGTTTTAATCAATATATTAGAAAATATTATAAATCGATTTTCGTATTAATTTTTTTCTAGATATTGGGATGACGAATTGATAAACGCAAAAACTAATAACCGGAATCCTAGTTTTCTCAAGACGCTATTTAAAATGTTTGGCACAAAGTTTATGTTTTATGGAATTACTTTGACGGTAATCCAGATTATTTTAAGGTAGGTAATGTTTAGAATATAATTTATTAAAGGTACCTATCAAAAATATAAAAAATATAATAATATCATATAAAGATATAACTTTTTTTTATTAATGTTAAGAGGACGTCGCGTCGCTAATGTTGTCTCCGTCTTAAACACGTACGACATGGACAATGTTCGTTCACCAGTTTCAATAGTTTTCTGTCGGTTTTTATAGTAGAACGAATTTGCCTATTATCAGATTTTTAGGTAAGAACAATATATGAGGGGCGACATTTCAAAACGTACTATTTCCTTTGTTCAATCTTGATTCAAATCAATTTGAAAAATAGCAAATCGTGATTTCTCAAAAAGGTGTAAAATGGAAATAGTACGTTTTGAAATGTCGCCCCTCGTATGTGTTCTCTAGTTAGTTTTTCACGATATTACGATATTTAAATTAGTTAGTCAAGTGAGTTATGAGTATGTAAAATATTATTATTGGAAAATGCTCAACAATTAAAATATCGTAAAAAACTAACGACAGTACACAGACAGTACGACAGATATTGTCTAAAAGTTTGATAATAGGCAAATCGCTCTAATATCAAAACTAACAGCACAAAATTGAAACTGGTGAATGAAAATGTGTTATGTCATACGTGTGTAAGACGGAGACAATATTATATTATGCGGGCACGAAGTCCTCTGAAAGCCTCGGTATGTGAACCATTGGGTTGAATTTTTTTAAACTATTATATACCTATTTACAATTTACGAGTGTATGTTTTGTAAGAATATTAATTATTAAGACGACTATAGTTATTGATCCTTATTATTTTTGTTAAATAGCATAGGCATTTCGACTACGGTAGGACTAATAGTCAATCATTTTGAAACTAATACGTCATCTTTTGATCAAAATCCAGTTGGAGTATATTTAGCAATCGGATTAATTACTCTTTTGTTGATAAGATCAATTGCCTTTAATTCCTACAGCATGTCAATTGCACATATATCGATGAAAATGCGAGTAGCGACATGTGATCTGATTTACAATAAGGTAGGTTAGGTAATACTATACTTAAACTCTAACATATAATACCGAGCCTAAGTAAACATTTCCTAGAAAATAATGTTAACAATTATTCTCTATTGTATTACTTTCAAATTTCAATCAATATCACTATTATTAACAATGTATAATGTATATATTATATCTTACACAACTTGTATAGGAATATTAATAATTTCATGTAATATCATGAAATTTATGTTTGTATTATTAATTATTTATTATTATCTATATATTTATTTCTTACATAAGTAGTATTTTTTTTTTTATATAATTTATAAACTATTTTCAATTTTACACAATATAATTTAATGCGCCACTTAATAATAATAATAATAATAATAGACTATTTATCCAAAAAAAAAAGGTTTCGGATATAAATATATAATATTCTAAATATTATATTGATTATTGACTGTGTCAGGTTTTTCCCTTTTGATATATTATCCAGATAATAATAAATTACCAACTTTTAAAAAAATATTACCTATATAAAATTATAAGCATACAGTTACATATTTGACAATATAATTTATTTTATTAGGCATTGCGACTCAAAATAAATTCACTGGATCCGAGTACAACTGGACATATAATAAACTTAATATCAAATGATGTTAACCGATTTGATGTGTCTATAGTATGTATACCTTTTTTATGGCTCGGCCCTTTGGAAACATTTGTTTCTATTTTTTTTTTGTGGCGAGAAGTAGGTGTGTCATCAGTTATAGGAGTGGGTGCGTTACTCATATTTATACCATTACAAGGTTAGTAAAGAATAATTTAAATGTCGGTTAATATTTATATAAAATGTTATTTCGGTTTATATTTAAGTCTGGTTGGCGTCAAAGACATCTATTATTCGATTAAAAACGGCGAACCTAACCGACAAGAGGGTTCATTTAATGAATGAAATAATATCGGGATTACAAACAATCAAGATGTATACTTGGGAACCATTTTTTGATAATCTTACAAGACAATTAAGAAAGTAATTTATTAAAAAAATAACTTAAATTAAATAAACAAAATAAAAATATTTTGGTTGATTGTAGGAAAGAAATGACCAAAATTATTGAATCGTCGTATATAAAACGTATTTTGTCTTCGTTCTTTATATTTAACACAAGGATCGCATTGTTTGTAAACATTTTTTCATACGTTCTGCTCGGAAACTACATAACCGCATCAAAAGTAATGTAGTACCTACCTATTCATAATAATTTTATACATACTATTATAGGTAAACTTTAATACTATTATATAAGATTTAAATCCTATTTAGAACACAGAACTCACAAAGTCCAAATAGACAATGTTATAAGCTCCTGTAAAACAATGTCCTTAGGAGTACCTCAAGGTCAAGGCACAGTACTATCCCCATTATTATATATTATATACGTTGCTGGTTTATCGAACCTACAAATTGATGGTAGCCTATACTCTTATGCAGATGATACAGCTTTACTGATATCTGATAACACTTAGGACTCAGTAACAAAAAAAGCAGAAAAATCCTTAAAAAAAGTCGTTACTTGGTTTTCAAAACATAATTTAACTCTTAATAATAACAAAACGGTCTTTATAATATTTTCAAATATCTCAAGAACATCACCAAACTTTTTTACTTTAAAGTCTCATGCCCAAAATTGTAATCAGAATATACAATGTAATTGCCCTATCATTCAAAGGACTAATCAAACCAAATACTTGGGAGTTACATTCGACCAACATCTACGTTGGAACGTACACACCGCTGAACTTAATTTAAAACTACGAAAACTGTATGCCTTTTATAATATGGCTAAACACTTTCTTAACACACATTGGTTAAAAAATACTTACTTTGCCCTATCACAGTCTATAATAGAATATGGTATTGTGCCTTGGGGAGGAGCTCCTCTAACATATACAAACAACTTACAAGTAACCCAAAACACCATTTTAAAAATTATATTTCACAAACCTAGACTTCAACCTACAAAACAATTATACTCAGGCACTACACTACTATCATTAAAAAAATTATACCATAAAAAACTTTATTCTACCTCTTTAAAAATATATAGCACAAACAGCCACACTAATCATAATACAAGATCTGAAAATCTAATATTTCCAAAATAAACACATCTAAATATTATAACAGCTATCTCATAAGTCATAACGGGCTTGAGACTCTATGAAAGGCTCCCTCCTATTATAACAAATTGTGATAAATTTAAAAACTTTAAATTTCTTATAAAGAGATGGTTATTACACAATGAACCAGCTATATGACTGTATTTTTTCTATATTGTAAAGTTATTTATTTTGTATTACACCTCGTTATATACTATCCTATTTTGCTCATATAATATTTTTTGTTTTGTTTTCTATAACTACTAGCGGCAATGGTATTTATCATTATATATATTCTTCATAATTTATTTTACTATTATATTCGTTCATTTAATTAACTTATTTTTCTTTTATTCTCTTAGAGACTCTCGCCCATCAAAACAAGGAACTTATCCTTAGTGTTGGGCGAAGCAAATTTAATCACAAACATGTAGGTATATATATCTTCTGTTTCAAACAATTATTGCTGAATAAAGTATTTATTATTACCTATCTATTATCTAAAACATGTATACAAAAAATTATAAATCAAATTTAAAAATAGTAAATAGTTAAACTGGTGCCAGTCTAATCTAATAGCGTGTATGGTATTATTGGGAGTTGTGTGTCAAATTCTTCCTTGCCAGAAATTAGAAACTTCTGTTCCATCTTTGATCGCTGACATGATGTCGTCCATACTTCCATAGTCTTTTGTATAAGAAGTTTGCCACTTTGGGCAGTTTATTAGGTAGGTAGGTCGTGGTCTGAACTTGTTCACAATCACAAAGTGTATAATGTGTATTCATTATAAATAAGGTAACATTTGTCTGATTCTCCTTGGACCACCCAACGCCTGATCTTAGTCTGCTTATTTTTCACCACACTGGCCTCTCCAAATTATTCCCTGCAGGTAGGTGTTCGGCTGGTTTCTCCAGCTCCTGGTTTCATTGTCTGATATTTGAATTAATATTCATTACCTAATAATTAGATACTTAATTCATAATTGTATAGTACTTTAATTTATTCTTATACAATTATCGATTCAATATAGTATCATATTATGTAATCAGTAAACAAATAAACAATACAATATCAAATCGTAATATTCTTAATTTAATTTAATTTCATATTTTATTAAATTAAGGTTTTTATTATAACAACAGACTATACCATTTGCGGTCGTCATTAACATACTTTTCCCACCAGGGATAAGTTTAGCTGCTGAATTACTAGTTTCAATCAAAAGATTTGAGGTATGGGAGATAATTAAATTAAATATACGACATTTTTATTTATATTATTTAATAATAATTTAAATTAATTTATAGAATTTCCTATTACGCGAAGAGAAGGATAAACGACCAATAAGTCAAAAAAATACTACTACTTTGTTGGAAAAATCAAGTAATGGTATTGAAATGCCAAATAACAATAGTAGCAAACAAAATGATACTGAACAATTAAGTAATTCTAGTATAGTTGTATCGAACGCAACCGCCAAGTGGTCAGACAATCAAACCGATAATACATTAGAAAATATCAATTTAACTGTAAGACCAGGTCGTTTCGTTGCAATAATCGGTCCAGTTGGAGCTGGAAAAGTATGAATAATATAAATAACCTAACTTATAACTATTTCTCATCTTTCACACACCATTACATTTCATAGAGTTCGTTGATACAAGCAATTTTACAAGAGTTACCACTTTCTGAAGGAAACATTTCAGTGCTTGGAGTAGTGTCTTACGCATCACAAGAACCATGGTTATTTGCAGGTTCTGTAAAACAAAATATTTTATTTGGTTCACCAATGGATAAGGATCGTTATAAAAAAGTAAAGTGTTTCATATAATTTAAACTTAAGAAACCAAAATACTAATTTAGTATTTATTTCTTGTTTGATTGTGACTTAGGTTATACAAGTTTGTGCATTGAAAACTGATTTAGAACAGTTGACATACGGCGATAAAACAATAGTAGGGGAAAGAGGAGTTTCTCTTAGTGGTGGACAAAGAGCAAGAATCAATTTAGCAAGGTAATGAGTTTATTTATTCTTTGAAAAATTCTTAAATAGATACTATTATATGGTTTAATATAGAGCAATATACAAACAAGCAGATATTTATTTATTGGATGATCCTCTATCAGCAGTTGACACTCGTGTTGGAAAGCATTTATACGAAAAGTGCATAAAAAGTATTTAAAAATGTTTAATATCGTATCTGACATCTGTAATTTAATTATTTTAAAATGTATAGATTACCTCAAAGAAAAGACTTGCATACTCGTAACCCATCAGATTCAATACTTAACTAATGTAGATCAAATTGTTTTGATGGAAAATGTAAGTATAATAATATCATATTATGTCATAATATGTAATTGTATAAGTGTAGAACGTTAACATTTCTACTTTTTATATTACTTTCTGTAATAGGCAAAAGTGGTAGCAGAAGGTTCTTATAAAGAACTTCAAACTTCTGGTTTAGACTACACTAAATTACTCGAATTGTCTACTGAAACCGCAGTTTTACCCGGTAATGATACTAAAATGGATAAATCTAGCCATAATAATATAGCACGGTCCATATCGTATAGTCGGCAAGAGTCTATCTTAAGTGTTGGGTCATCAATCGAAGAAACCAAATGTAGAGAAATTATAACTGAACCTGAGGAAGTAGCTGAAACCCGTTCTTCGGGAAATATATCATTTAATGTTTATATGTCATATATTTTCGCTGGTGGTCATTTGTGCAAAGTTATAAGTTTAATATTGATGTGTACCTGTACGCAATTCCTTGCATCGGGTGGAGATTATTGGATAACTTATTGGTAAGTGCCTAATTGTTTTCATAAACTCATAAATTATCTGAATATTCCTATAAAATGTTGGTTTGGTTTTAGGGTAAATTTAGAAGAACATGTGTTTGGTGCAACAAAACCTATCAATCAAAACAACTCTACGACAGTTGATTCTTCTGTAGAGCTGACGCAGTGGATTGTGTCAAGGAATACTTGTGTCATTGTCTTTGCAGCCCTAACAATCTTAATCGTATTAGCTACCTTAGCGGAATCAACTTTATTAGTATCTCTATGCACTATGGCATCAACGAATTTACATAATAAAATGTTCAGTGCTATTACAAGATCAACAATTAATTTTTTAAATAAAAATCCATCAGGTAAGAAAAATTTTTTAATTTTTTTTTTACTACTTTAACTGTAACTTTATTTCAATTAGGGCGAATTCTTAATCGTTTTTCAAAAGATATAGGACTAATTGATGAAATATTGCCTAATGTATTAGTCGATGTTATACAGGTAAAATATAATAATATTGATTTCATATTTAAAAATATAGATATTTGTATTATTTATTACACTTTATTAGATTGGTTTGATGGTGGCTGGGATGTTTGTGGTTGTGGGAATCGTCAATCCTTATTTAATCATACCAACAATAATTGTAATGATAGTTTTTGTTAAAATTAGATACGTTTATATGACTACAACTCGTAACATTAAACGTCTAGAAGGAGTTAGTAAGTTGCATAATTTACAATAATTAGATACTGTGTTTTAATAAAAATATAAGGTTTAAATAATATAATTTGTATTAATTATACCTACTTTCAGAATCTGTATACAATTTAAAACTATTAAATCACTAAACTTTTTTGTCTCAACAACTTAGCTCGGAGCCCTATATATACTCACGTGAATGCATCTATCCTAGGACTGACTACAGTAAGATCATTTGAAGTAGAACAAATTCTTTCTAATGAGTTTGCAATCCACCAGGTAATATTATTATTGAGATTAAAATATTTAATTTTTTCATGAAATATTTATTAAAAATTATTTTTAGGATCTACATTCATCAGCGTGGTATTTATTTATTGCTTTGGGGAGAGCATTTGGACTTTGGATTGATATAATTTGTCTATTATTTATAAGTACTGTAACGTTTTACTTTGTATTTGTTAATAATGGTAAGTTTATAAGAACATTTTTTTTTTATTTGATATTAACGAAAAGTATATATTTATATATTGGTAGTCTTTTATTGAAGAACACCAATAAAATTGTTTACAAAAACTATTAACATAATAATATTTTTTTACATAATTGTAAAGCGTTCGAAGCAATATTTTTTAAAACAATTAGACTTTTACTATTTTTATTGTTATCGTTTTTTTAAGTCATTAGTTTTCTGAATGACAACATACATTTTTAATTCCCATAGTAAACCAAAGCTGAATATTTTAGCCTAAAAAAAATTCTTAACATTTAATTCTTAAAATAATGATAAAAAAGTATTTTTCATAAAACTGGAATATTAATAGTAGGTAATTATAATCCACCGTTTCATAAATTAAATTGTGTTGCATTCAAAACTAATTAGGATATCGTTTCGATAATTTAAACATAATTTTAGATACCTATGGTGGAAATGTCGGGTTAGCTATTACACAATCAATTGGATTAGCTAGTTTGTTCCAATGGGTAATTAGACAGTCTGCGGAATTGGAAAACCAAATGACGTCTGTCGAAAGAGTTTTAGAATATTCAAATGTACCACAAGAACCAGCTCTTGAATCGCATCCCGGTAATAATACTGTTTGTACACTAATATAATATGAAATGCTGAAAAATTAATTTACAGATTAGTATTATTTTGTATATATGAATAAAATGATTTACAATATTATTTTAGACAAGAAGCCATCAAAAGTATGGCCACGGGAAGGTCGAATTATATTCAACACATTTTATCTGCGTTATGAGCCAGATGCACCATTTGTTTTGAACAATTTGAATTTTAACATTGCACCTGCAGAAAAAGTAACATGCAAAATTAGATAATAATAAGATTAATAATTTAACTCCAGAATATACCTAACCGTATAATGATATTTATTTTCTTTAAATTATAACATAAAAAAATCGGTTTTTGTATAGAAAAAATGAAAAACTAGTTAATCTGTCCGCTATATATAATTTTGGTGGAAAATACCATTGTGGATTGTTAATCTGTGTTTCAGAATAGTTTTTGTAATAAATTGTATTAATAGTTTTGTATTTATTAAGGTTGGGATTGTTGGAAGGACTGGAGCAGGAAAATCATCTTTGATTGCAGCGTTATTTAGATTAGCTTATAACGAGGGTAACATAATTATCGATGGTATAGAAATACACGAACTGGGATTACACGACTTGAGGTCCAAAATTTCCATCATACCTCAAGAACCAGTTTTGTTTACAGGAACAATGAGAAACAATTTAGATCCATTTGATGAATACCCAGATCATGTCCTTTGGAAAGCTTTAGATGAAGTAACATTTTTGTTTTAAATACCTACTTCTACGAGTATATACATAATGTATAATATATTGATACGTTTACACTTTCTAGACATTAAAAAAATTATTCAATTATTATTAATTTACATAGTTAACTATAATTTTAAGGTGGAACTGAAAAACATAGTTGAAGATTTGTCAAATGGTCTAAACTCAAAAATGTCAGAAGGTGGATCTAATTTCAGCGTTGGTCAAAGACAATTAGTATGTTTGGCTAGAGCAATTATACGAAATAACAAAATTCTAGTGTTAGACGAAGCCACTGCAAATGTCGATCCACAGTAAAAAAATTGAATTTAAAAATATTATAACTTGTTAATTATTTACGATAACACTAAAATGATATTCCTATTTTCATATTTCAGAACTGACTCTTTAATTCAAAACACTATAAGAAAAAAATTTTCCGAGAGTACTGTATTAACGATTGCACATCGCTTGAATACAGTGATGGATTCTGACAAGATACTTGTAATTGACGCTGGGACAGTTGTGGAATTTGATCATCCACATAATTTATTGAAAAATGAAGATGGATTTTTCTACAAAATGGTAGCACAAACTGGACCAAACAATGCTCAATCTTTACACAACATAGCTTATGAGGTATTTATTTTCACTTGGAATAACTAATAGTGTATTGTACTTCATGAATATATTTTTTTTATAATATTTAAAGAGTTACAATAACGTACACAATATGCCAAGTGAACATCGATTGACAAGTATTAATGAAGATGAAAACTAAATATTAAGATCTCGAACTTTTGAGTTATAATTGTATACTATATTATATATAGTTATATGTACGTATAATCGAATAGATACTAATTACAAATTTACATTATAGTATTGTACAATAAATTAAAATGAACATTAAATTTGGTCTTTATTTATTTTATAACTAATTAGAAATAAAAATTTTATGAAAATATATTATTTTTTTTTTGTTTTATTAATATCTACAAGTGACCAAAGGTTGACAACTCACAAGTATTAACAAAATTGAAGATTTTAGTAAAGTAAATACATAATATCATTAATATTATTTTAGAATTCAAACCAAGTGAACGATAACATTTTTTAAATATTTTTACCCTTTTTCAGTTCTTTATCTCTTCATAGCCATGAGTAAATTTTGATTTTTTAAACTTTTTTAAATTACTAGTAAATAAGGTTCCGTATAAATGTCAATATAGTGTAAGTAATTTTTAAAAAAAAATGAGTGTAAAATCACAATAATTTTTCATGATTGTCTGAAGTTTGAAATTTTGCTAATTATTTTTCAGTAAAAATTGATAAAAAAATATCTTTTCATAGCTGACATTTGAAAATTTAATAGAAGATTCCATACAGTTGTTCACATCCAACAAAAAAAAATTTACCTGAAGGTTATATAAAACCATGAGTTATTTTCAATTGTATTAAACAAAAATAAACAAAGATAATATTCCAAGGATTATATTTTATAGGATACCGTCTCCGCTCAAAATCGTTTTTCGAGTTACCAACCTTTTTTTTCTTTTACGGGATTTATGATTAATAATTTTCAAATTACTTATTTATTTTACAAGGTTTAAAAAGTACAATTTATATTGTTTATAAATTAGTGAAAGGTTAGGACAGTGGTTCTTAACCTTTTTCGAATGACGGAACACTTAACATTTTACAAGATTTTCGAGGAACACAACCGTAAAATAAAATAGTAGTACATACATTTTTAATTTTTTAATATATTAAACAATGAATGTATAGCATAAAATTGTTTGCATGCCATACATGTTAGGATAATACTTTCGGTATTGACAGTACTGTATAAACATCCAAATTAAAATTGAACACAGATTATGTTTTTTTTGAAGGCTGAAATTCTTTTATTATGTAGGTATCACTCGTTTTTTGTACAAATCTAAAAAAACAAATCCATGACATCGATTTGAGGAATCACTGACTAGACTGCAGTTTTTACTTTATGTTTGTAACTCATTTCTAATTTATTATAGATATTATCAATATTTCAATAAAGGATCACTGCAACAACGAGGCAAGTCCAATTTTATCAATTTTTCAGGAGTAGCAAAACAAAATTCATTATCTCATTTACCCCTTTTGGAGGGAAATAATTCAGCTTGAGATATCTTTGGAAATAATAAAGCGATTTTTCTGATTTTGCTACCAAAATATAGTATTTCTTCCATAGAGTTTCTTCCATGGAAAAACTCATTTTTGATAAAAATGGACTTGACTTGTTGTTACAGTGAGCCCTTTATAAATATTAAACACATATAAGTTATAGTACAAATTAAGAAGGTACAGATACGTATTATTATATATTTACGTAAAATTATATTTTAACTTGTGTATTTATCATATATACAAAGGTGGGCATTAACTAGTTGAAAAGTTAAAGTTCAGTTAAAAAGTTAATTTTTTTTTAACTTTTTAACTTAACTAGTTAGTTTATTTTCTAATCAACTTATGTACTTAAATAGTTTAATTTACAATTGAAATAACTTAGCTTTTCTCAGTTGATTTTAAAAAATCCATTAAGTTAAAACATTTTGAAATTGTTCGTTTATACTTAAATATTACGAATTTCGAACGCTCGTAAAAATGGCAAAACTATACTCTAATATAGAACATTCCAAAGAAAATATAAAATTACTAAGCAAATTGGAGAAATTCAAATCCACGGAGAGCTTTATTACACATCATTTTTCTCGTAAAATCGCAGGGTTTTTGATTTTTTCGATGTAACTTGTTGTTACATTTTTTTGGTCATTGATCAAAAGCTTAAAAATTCAATAATATCAAATAAAACCAAATAAATTACATAAAAATAATAACGTTTATTAGTATAAATACTAAATGTAGGTACACAAGATTACGGAAATATAGCCATATATTTTATAATTTATAGGTAGGTATCATCTTTTTACATAAACACTTCTTTTGATCCAGGGCTAGAATTTTGACCGCAGGGCAGAAGTAACCTCTGTCCGCTACTGCAGATCATTGGCTATTAATTCCACAGTGGATTTTAAACGTCGCTGCAGTCTTGGCTCCCTCCCCTCTCGCCTTTATTACTCCTGTGTAATACGCCAAGGTGAGCTTTTGTCCTGAGTTCACAGCTCTTTTGTGTCCAGCTAGACGCCGTTTTGTTCGCCGGACACTGAACAAATCCTTGTTTTTTTGTCCTCTCGTTTGTTGAACTGTTTCGTGCATCGGCACCGGCTTCGGCTCTTTTCCGTGTCTTGCACCACGTCGTGGTCGTTCCCGTTTCCTCTAGTAATACTCGTTTTTTCCACAGCGGTTATATCACCGCTGTATAACCGCTGTGGAAAAAGCTGTAGGTAAAAACGAGTATTACTAGAGGAAACGGGAACGACCACGACGTGGCGCAAGACACGGAAAAGAGCCGAAGCCGGTGCCGATGCACGAAACGGTTCAACAAACGAGAGGACAAAAAAATGTCTGCCGGGCGAACGCCAAAAAAAGGCGAGCCTAAACGGAGGATTTGTTCAAAGTGTCCGGCGAACAAAACGGCGTCTAGCTGGACACAAAAGAGCTGTGAACTCAGGACAAAAGCTCACCTTGGCGTATTACACAGGCGTAATAAAGGCGAGAGGGGAGGGAGCCAAGACTGCAGCGACGTTTAAAATCCACTGTGGAATTAATAGCCAATGATCTGCAGTAGCGGACAGAGGTTACTTCTGCCCTGCGGTCAAAATTCTAGCCCTGGATCAAAAGAAGTGTTTATGTAAAAAGATGATACCTACAAACCTCTCACAAAACTGAACATAATCTATGTTCGGTCTATGTCGGGAACACCGCAACAAAACATTCGCAGTGCAAAGGTCTTCGCCCGACTCCACAGTGTGCGACGACTAGGTCGGACAGCGCTTAGTATCACGTCTGTTGTTGCAGTATCTCCACATCCGCCTTTGGTAACCATGATGTCCTGTAAACCTGCACTGGTCGTCTCGTGCTCCAGCGGTTTTGCCGACTCGGAATCACCGATTAATTGTGTTTCTGAAGTGTTCGGTATCGAACTCAAATGCTGGGCGTCGAAATCGAGTGGCAGAACATGTGGTAAAGTCGACGTGAAGGGTAACAGGGAGTCGATGTCGCTAGCTCTTATAGCAGCAAGTCTCAATTCTTCACTCTCAGTCGATGATTCGGCCGATGGCGAATCCATCAAAACTTACATCTCGGTGATGGAAGCGACGGACGGAATCGCTTCTTGTGCATCGCCCATGGACTTTGTTTCGAATGCCATGTTTGGCATCGATTTGCTTCGCCTTTGAAAACTCTTGATATCGTCGATTTTTAGGGTTATCGGACGATTTCAAGCAGATCACTGAATACTTGCGTCATTGAAGAGGTTTCCGACAGAGGGACTTCACCAGAGGAAATCGACTGCAGCGAAATGTTAGGCAACGATGCGTATCGCCTGTGAATCTTCAAACTGGTGACCACACTCTCTTCCAACACTTTAGGCTGATTTTCCCGGAGGTCTTCAAAAACCTGGATCATGATTTCTGTGGCGGACTGTTTATTAACATCGGACGAACTCTTCACGGCTTCGTTAGTCGACATAATGTTGATCTGATGTTTATATATTATACAAAACTAAGGTACGCAATAAGTCTTGCACTGTATTATAATTAATGTTCGTTGTAACAAATATAGGTACTGATAGAACAGACTGATATGCAATTAATACGAATTATAAAACAGCTTCAGTGTAAATAATTTATTTACACTGAAGTTGCCCATAGAAACAATTATAATAGTTTTTTTAAAAAATGTTCAGTTTAGAAAATTATATTTTTAAAAGAATAAATAAAAAAAAGGATTGTATTTAACATTGGTAAATACTAAATATTTGTTAAAGCTTTATGGATTTTGATAAAAAGAAGGTGCTTTGCTGTACAGTAGGTTACAACTGGATCACTGTATAATGGATGGTATTAAATTTGAATTCAATAATATAATATAATTGTATAAGGGAAAGGATTCTGAGAGGTTTGTCTGAGACGGTTGTCAGTCTACGTATAAGACATATTATATACTTATCTATGGTATTAAAAAAAATTGACCTATAATAAATTCCAAATTTATCATATCACAATATCCATTAGGTACTCGTACGTGTTATACATCAACAACAAACCCTGATACTATCATAGATATATAATAGTGTACTTTAGAAGTTAGTTATAAGTTATAACTAAAATAGTTATTCTAGGTTTTTTATGTAGTTTCGTCCAAATTTGAACTTAAAATGACTATAAAAATAAACTGCACTTACGTATTTTTTAAATTATTTGGTAACAGAATTAACTACTTACATGGAATCTTGTTTTAAATTTAAAATCCTTAGATATAAAAGATAAACATTTTAAAAATATTTAACTACAAAATAATTGTTCAATTTTAAATTTCGTACATTTTGTCAAAATTCGATGTTTAAATGCTTATAAAAAAAAATTGTGCCTATGTATTTTCAATGTTTTTCAACTAATATTGTAACAATATATCAGGAGTCTTGTATTAAATTTTTACACTTTTTGGCCCAACAGATAAAACTTAATTGATATTTATAGAAAAAAAAGGTGGGCAAGTGGGTGTCGCTCTGCTGTACAGTAAATTACAAGTGGGTCACTGTATAATGGATGATATTAAATTTGAATTCAAAGATATAATATCATTGTATAAGAAAAACGAATCTAAGCGGAGACAGTA